CAGCTATGCACAGTGCTACCAGGTGTGGGTTTCCAGGCTTCCCCATGCACCCCAGCCTGCCATGAGCAGCTGCTGCAGGCCTGTACTCCGCATCATGGGGTGTCAGAGGTGCCCACAGTGAGCCTGGGTAATTTCAGCTGCCACCTGCTCCTCAGAAGCCAGAGAAATCATGCTCTGGGCCTCTGTGGCTTCGACAAGAGTTCCCTGACACCCCTTAAAGGTTTCCAACTTGCTGCAAAGCACAGCCGGCTCCAATATCTTCTTTATGAGACGTGTCACTAGAAGGGATGTAATGACCCCACCATTCATGGTGGGCCCGCCTTGACCTCCAGGCGCCGTCTGGTTACCCTTGTACACAGCCATGCACTTCAGACAGAAGACTTCCTCTCGCATGTAGGAGCTCCCTGAGGGTGAGCGTCCTGCTCACTCTTGCCCTTTTAATCTGGGTGCACAGCAGCAGGGGCTCACCCACCAGGGAACGACCACAGGAGCATGCATGTGCCCTCTAGGCCCCCACAGCTCACGTGACATACCTCGGTACCTGGATTCCTTCTGCCTCTATAGACTCTAAGCTGATTAGGTCAGGGGTGGTCTATTCTCCCTGGTACTGTCTATATTACTAGGTGTGGGCATATTTTTGTAAAGTGTGTGTACCAAAATAAAACTGTAACTATTACAATATTTAATAGGAAAGGGCATTTTTGCCTCAAGAGATGCTACTTGTATTTACTAAATACCCCAAATCAGACCACAAAGGTCCTTAACTTCTGGGAATGCATGGAAAAGAGCAACAAATTTATTAGGCACAAACTTCATACCTAAAGAAATGTCCACATCTCTTAGTAATAGCTTGAAAATGATTGCCAATTCTCTCCAATACAATAAAGAATCGATCTAGTTTTGACACACCACACGCAAACCTCCCAATGCCAAACACACCCTACCTCCCGGAGTCTTCCCACAACTGTGCTCCTTGAAACACTGTCTGGGGGAGAGATGGATGTTTGGGGGGTTCTGATTTAGAAAAGCTGCTGACCAACTGTCAGGATGTGTTTCTGGAGAATGTTCCTTTCAGTCACCTTGGCACAGTTCTGCCCACATATATGTGAACCACATGGAAGAAATCCATGTGCCTGGCGCCCACACACATGTGAGCTTTGGAAGCACAACTGTGTCTACAGTTAAGTGACTCTCACTTGTTTGAGGATTAAGAACAAATGGTCTCTTTTTAAAAAGTGGTCAGAACTAGGCTGGAAGGACAGCTAGTGTGTGGAGTAGCAATTTGTTCCTTTGAGGAAAGCACCACAATGTTGACTCAAGGATTTACTCAAATGAAAACACTGTGGGCATCCCCAAGCCCAGTCAGCTCGGATGTTAGAGAGGCCCCTCTAGAATTACCATGCACTTCCCAGAGTAAAGAAAACACTCTAGATGATTCTCTCAGACCTCCTTTAAGAGCAAACATTTTTGATACCATAAAATAAAAGATTCCTGGTTAAGAACAATTCCAAAAAGTATGGGTCCCTTCCACCAAGGTAGAGTAAGATGATTTGAATATATCATGCTGTTTGCAGGAGCCAGAAATGCTCAGGCACACCAGAACCAACCATGAAAGAGTGGTTTCTATGGCAGCAGGTACAGGGAAGGACAGGGCTGTGGGAGGAAGAGGCGGGAGGTCTGTGGCCTCGGCCAACCCGAGGACTTCCTCGGCCAACCCGAGGACTTCCAGACATGTTTCCTGAAAACATGACGGCAAAGTCAGCGACAATCCCCAGACTCCACTGCTGTGAATGTCATCCCATGACACACATGTGGCAGCCTCTTGCTGCTAGTGAGAGGTGCAGAAACTTTCAGAGGTGGAGCCTAGAGGTAAGTCTTTGGCTCCCTGGAGGTGTGTGTGCGCACGTTGTACTCGGAGCGGATTGTGTGACCCGAGTTTCTTCTCTCTTTGTTCCCTGGCTCCCCGAGAACTGAGTGGTTTTGCTTTGCTACACACTACCTGCTACAATGTGCTGCCTTGGCCCCAAAGCACCAAATCAACCAGTCAAGGACAAAGCCCCTGAAATGGTCAAGCCAAGTAACAGTTTTCTTTTTACCAGTTGACCTCGAGCGTCTGTTACAGTAACAGAAGCCAGCGTACTTGCTAAACTTAAAAAAAAAAAAAAAAAAAAGTCTGGACCGGAAAGATAGCTATGGGGAAAAGAGTTTGTGTGAATGTGACCCTAACCCTAACCCTAACCCTAACCCTAACTACCTGAGCTCAGATGTCCAGCACGACAGAAAAACTGGGCACGGGGTGCAAGGGTCTGAAATCCCAGCATTTCTACAGGAGACGAGAGGCAGAGCTGGGGCGATCTCTGAATGCTGCAGGGCCCACTCACCTGGTACACCACGCTAGAAAAGAAGAGCCCTTGTCTCCAGCACCGAGGCTGTCCTTTGACCTCCGTACATTCTGCAGCAAGTGCATAGTCACATAAAATGGCTCTTCCAAAGGCATTTCCCATGCCCAGAGAATAAAATGAAGAGCCACAGATCAGGAAAAAATAATTAAAAATCACACATTGGATAATAGTAGTGTGTGTAGCTACTCTATTTAAAAGCTTTATAAAACATAACAACTAACAAACAATAAAATTTAGAGAAAAACCAGGCAAAAATTAGAATGGATACTTGACCAAATGAGTGTACAAAAGGTATCTAACCCCATCAGCCATTAGGAAGATGCAAATTAAAAACCATGGTGACTGCCAACATGCAGCAAACAGAACATCTAAGCTAAAAACAGCCATGCCAAGTGTCATCAGCTCAGTGTGGGACATGCAGCACTCTCAGGTGCATCTCATGAGAATGTAAAACATTTTGGAAGACATTCTGGCATTTCTCGTAAAAACAAAAACATATGTGTAATACCCACCAAGAATTCTACTACCTGGTATTACCCCAAGAAAAGAGAAGTGTCTGTCTTTTCACAAAGACTGGTGCAGAATTATTCAGGATTTACATGGAATACTCCAAGCTAGAAACTTGTCAGGTGCCCACCATCAACAAGCAAACTGCACAAATGAACTGTGGACTATTCTCTCAGTGGGGCACCACACAGAGACTCCAAAAACCGAGCACTCCACAGCTTCTGAACCATGAACGCCATGAATGAGCCTCAGCAGTCATGTCTACAGAAGGAGGCTCACAAACAATGTTTCTACCCGACACACTTCAACACAACACTGCAAAATCCAGACCAATGCCTACCAATAGGAAGCAGAGGGAAAAGCAGCGAGAGCAGGAAGGCCACCTCGGAGAGGAAGGGAAACTTCTGGAGCTGGACTCAGGTACCAGCTCGGTTGCTGTGGTAGTGGCATGGGTGCATGGCTATTGCAAAACTTAAACTACATACTTTGAATTTGTTCAACTTATTGCACACCAACTATTTCTAAATAATAAAACCCAAGACACTAATTCGTGATGAGAAATTTCACAGAAAATCAGGCTGATGACCCAGCTACGCCCCAGCCACACTGAGGACAGAGGAGGGATGCTGGACGTCCTGCTCCATGACTCTCTGACCTGCTCTTGAAGCAGGGTCTCTCAGGAACCTGGAGCTCGGCTGGCAGCCAGCAGGTACCAACAAGCCTCCTGTCTAGGAGTGCAGCTATGCCTGGCTTTTGGGTGGGCACTGGAGGATTTGAACTCAGAAAGCGCTCTTACCTACTGATGCATCTCTCCAGGCCCACATACTAAATTTGATGGTACTCATGGCTTTTGTACAGAGAACAGAATTCACTGAGGATAGGCCGTAAGATCCCACTTTTACCTCTACTAAGAAGAGGTGCCGATGAGGTCAGTGGAGAAGGTACATCTGACCTCATGCAGGTGATGTGTGCAATAACACTGCCCACAGGGAAGATGTGCTACCCGGGTCCCTTTTATTTTCTTCAGGGTGAGTCATGAACCTTGCCAACCATCATTTCACATTTCCAAGATGTTTCCAACCAAATGCACTATACTACTAAGTCCATTTATCTCTGAGCTCACCTGAAAAGAAACTTGTCTCTTTGTTATCAGAGAAGTTCAGAGAAGGCAGGGGTCTCCATATAAAACACTAGAAGGTGACCTTCTCCTCCTGGACCATCAGCACAGAGGAAGAAACACTGCACTGCTGTAATCTGACTTCTGTTTTGACAGAAACAGTACTAGAATCTTGGCCTCTGAGTCTGTCAACATTTTTCTCCTCAGAGAAGAGTCATTTATCATTCAAACCACACAAGCCAAACCTGGACAATGAATTCTCCAAAAGAAGATATGGAAACTCCACAAATAGGAAGAACCCACTGAGCATGACTGTATACGACATTCTTTGAGCAAGTGCTGGACAAGCTGCTTGCAAAGAGAAACAAGAAGAGGGAGAGCTATCTGACTTGGTGTTTGTGGAAACCAACATGTCAGCTAGATCTCTGATTGATGAAACCAGAAACAAACCCAGAATCTGCTTTCTGTACTTACCCAGAGCAAGAGAGATGCCTCCTATGAAGAATAATGAATATAGGATTCAAAGTTTGGCAACGATTGAGATGATCCAAGCTGGCCCTGGACCACTAATAATGTTTTTGAAAGATTGGGTTGTTAGATTAACAGTTATAGAAGATGGACACTATTTATGCAATGTTAAAGCAAACATTTTTATGAACCAAACATTTCCTAAACTGCAAACAAAAATGTGAAACTCTATCTGACACCTGTAGCAAATCTGAGGGCCTTCCCTGGTCCAGGGCGCAGAGCCAGACCCTCTGTACACAGGCTCTTTCTAAAGGTTAGGAAAAGAATAGCCACCTTGACTGGATTTTAACTCTTGCAGTCTCCCTCTGGACACTTCAGTTCTTCCAATAGCCATGTCTGGCTTTGTTGAGTCAAGTCGTGTGTGTGTGTGTGTGTGTGTGTGTGTGTGTGTGTGTGTGTGTGTGTGTGTGTGTGTGTTTACCAAATAAATCGAGAGCTCTACTTACATCATGCATGGAGTCTAGAAGCTTGGTCAGTTGGTAGAACCTCTGCCAGCTCTGCCCAGAGCTGTTGGGACACTTGGTGACCATTTTTCTCAGTTCTTTGATGTAATTTGTCCTCATCTCTTCAAATGCAGCTTGGGCTTTGAGGCCATCTTTTGGAACTGTGTTAAGGAATACAAACATAAATTTCACCGTGTGAAAAACACAGCTTTTGCAGTTCCATAGCCTCTAATATTTTAAACTCACACACTGATTGTGAGGCTGGACCAAGTCTTAATTAATTGTAATTAGGAGTAAATATGGCAGTTACATACTTGGCAAACATTAGCTCACACACATACACAAGAATGATAACTTACCTATTAGATTTGGGTTATCACTTTGCATACATTAGCTCATTTTGTCCTGACATCAACATTATCACATAGCTCTCTATTATTCTTTCTTTGTAAGGATGAGGAAATTGGGCTGTAAGTGGATTCATTACTTTGGAGTGTAAAATAACGGCAGCTCAAATTCATTTTCAATATCTACCTCCTAAACATCATGCCCCATATGGTGTTTGGCCTCTCTTTAGAGTATCTTCTAAATCCTAGCTCGTCAATGCCTCAGGGGCAGGACAACATATTTCACTATTGTGAGACAATCTAAGCTGGGGCAGCATGGTCATGTTCAAGTTCAATTGCAGACACCATGAGAACTGGCCACGTACCACGTGGACAATGCTGAATAAGCAGTTTCTACAACTGCCCAGATCACCTGACTATGGAGGCGTCATCACAGAAGTGCCTATTGGTTTGCCTGTGTGCAGGGCTAACATCAACACTGTTCTGTACGCTAATGAGAAGTAATGCTCACTTCAAACTCTGATGAGACGAAGAATCATATTTTCTTCTTTTGTCTTCTTTAGTGATTACGTTTTTACACTGAAACAAAAAGTTCACTTACAAAGAGTATTTGGGAGGTGAGTATGTAGCTCAGTGGCCGAGCATGTGTCTAATATGCACAAAGCCCTGGGTCTCCTAGCGGACCCCACCCAACAGGGAACACTTTGGGATTCACGGTGTTGTACACTCATGTGCTCCCATGCCCACTTCCATGCCCTGTTGCCAGGAGCCACCGGCCAGGACAGATGAAAAAGCGGTGGGAGGAGACATCTGTAGCCTCGTAGTTAAAGATGCCTCTTGGCAATCTGCTTCCTGCTTGTTTTCCAGCACGGTCAATAAGTGGCTTTAAAACCACGGTTTTAGGAGATGGAGACCTCATGAGAATCCATCTTGTGATATTAGCACTGTGACTTTGAAACTGCTCTGACCTTTTTACTCCTTGATCAAACCTCCCATTTACTGATTTTTTTGTGACTGGCTTACACAGTGATTTCTTGGGTCATTAGCACTTTCGGGTGGCTGCAGAGAGTCCCTTGTTTTCACAAATGAAGATATGCATCAGTTTACAAATCAACCTCCATCATGATGCTATCGAGGCTTTTGACCTTTGCCTCCTTATATCTATAGGATAATAAATCTCTAAAAGTCATCACATATGTCCTTGAGGATTGCCAAACTGTGACTTTAAATGTGTGACTTTAATAGTAAGAGTTAAATACTACCCCTTATATAAGAAGTCATTTTCTGTTCTTTTAAAAAGGCTTATTTATTTTATGTGTATGAGTGCTATTGCCTGCTTATACGTATGCATACCATGTACATGCCTGGTGCCCACAGAGGTCAAAAGAAGGCATCATATCCCTAGAACTGGAGTTTCCAGTGGTTATGAACCAGTATGTGGGTGCTGGGAACCAAACCTGGGTCCTCCACAAGAACAAGTGTTCATAACTGCTGAGCCAATTTTACAGCCCCTCAGAAATAGTTTCTTTTTAAAAGTTTAAAAAATAAAGATGGCAGTGACTGGCATATTAACAGTGAAACCAGATCCGCTAACCACCAGCATTTTACCACTAACTCAAAACTTTCTAAAGGAAGCTGAAAGCTTGCCAAGACCAACCTCTGCTGCCCAGCAACAGATTAGCAGTGTTTGAAGTTCCAAAGCCATTCAAGGTGAGTCTTTTTCAAGGAATACGTACATGACGGTGCTACCCATACATGAAAAAAAATCTACCACTTAAGGCCAGTGTGCCATTCCCTATTGTGATACTATTCGGCGTATCAACTAGATTAACCAAAGCCCCCCATATTTCTGACAGCTGCATTATCAAAGAATCAGAATGATATCCTCCCATATCAAATATTAACACTTACATTTTATTGCTGTAAATATAATATACTGAGATATATTTCTCAATTTCCCAACCACATTTTTTAGAAGTTGAAACAGATCAACAAATAAAGGGAAGTTAAGCAAAACCTCGAATTTTGGATGTCTGCCCAGAATTTCTGAATTGACTTATTAAGTGCAGCAGGCCTGTTGGAACAATTCCAGAACCTACAAGCTGGAGAAGAGTGAGAACCATGAGGTTGAAGTCAGTCTGCTTTCCTCTCTAGGCAAAGAACGTGAGGTTCTTTTGATGTCACCTGCTAAATCCCGAGAGGCTGGCCATCCATTATGAAACTTAGCATGGCTAAAGAGAGGGCCTCATACAATCCATCACAGAGGAGCCAAGCAAGCTGGCCAAAGCCCGGGATTCTAAAACTCCTTAGGCATTCCTACCTTTTAATTTCGCTTTTTCAGAATTGAGAGTCCTAAGTAAGTTGGAAGCTAATAAATTAATTCAGGCAGTTTAAAAATGACATCAGAAGCTGCGAGAAGAAAGGGTAACTGGATGTAAACAGGATAAGTACGAGCTAAGTCCAAGCAGTCAGATTTGTAAAGAACTAGACACAGGCATTAGCAAACGCATTTCACTTTAGGTCTACCTTCCATCTAATGCTTTAGGGAAATATTTTTCTAAACAAGACTAGTGAGCAGCGTGGTTTCAAAATGGAATAAAATCACTTCTATTAAATTGAAGGATAATTTTTGCAAAGTTATGCTCTGGGGAGGAAAATTAGGACTGTGAGGAAGCCCCTGACTGGCCATGGAGCAGGAGAGAGGGCCTGCTTTTTCCCCATACACTCTGCACAGGGGATGGGCTGGGAGCAATTAATGAGGAATGACTGAGTCTGTGGTAAACTGGGAAGCTGAACCCTGCCCTGGGCATGAGATTCACTGAAAATAAGCAAGAGGCTAAGAGCAACCTCCACAACAAACACAGCTGTGGAGTGGCTGTTCCTGCCAGGTCTGCCCTGGCAGCCAACCATGCTGCCCCCTCCTCACTGCCCCCTGCCACTGTTACCCACCTCAGAGGCAGCCAGCAAGCTGGTCCCCAGGAAAGCAGTCAGGCACTGCCTTCAGAGAAGCCCTGAGTCTCAGGCCTCACTTGTGCAGCACACTGAGCAACACCATCCAGGGGTCTCCCTTTGAGCCACCTTCTGATGGGGCTCTCAGGCTCTCAGGGTGTTCTGAGTGTTAAACTCGACAGTGTATAGAAAACAAATTAAACTGTGAGGCTCGGCATTCATGAGGCCAAGCTGTCCCCCGCAGTCCCTCTGCTCTGATCCCTGGTTCAGACTTCCTCCTCAGAACTAACTGGACCTTTACTTCTGCCTGTCTGCTCTACCCTGCGCCACTCAGTTCTAGCCTCCTTCCTTAGGAAGACGCTCCGTCTTCTACAGTCCTTTAAGTGGGGCTGGGTGTGGACCACACACACCTTCCTCCTCGCAGGCATCGCCCTAGCCTCTATTCCATGCTACTCGCCATGACACCCTGGCTGGCTCTTGCTATCCAGAATCCCTCTTGGTTTCCTCAGTGGCTGCTGTATTTGGTTCAGAGTTTACCTCCCTACCCTGTCTCCTGCCACCATCCCGGATCTCAACTCTGTCCCTGGTGAGCTTCCTCAAATGCTTTCTTCTCTGTTTGAAAATTCTTGCATGGAGTTTGAGAAACAAGCACTCACCGCCTTGCCAAGGCTACTGCTGCCCTCCCCTGTCTCCTGAGGTACCTAATTCTATCAGCTTTTTTCTTCTTCTCAAAACTGATTATAGAAGCCCAAGAAAGCTTCCCATATGCTCCACGGTCAATTTCAGTTATCTTCTTTCAATTTCTCAGCTTTCTCTGCTCAAGCCGCACCACCAGTCATATCTGTCCTGGGACCCTATGGCTACACCCAGTTCCTGACTCTGACACTGTCCCTTGTGCCTTTAACAAGGGTCCACTGGTTCTTTGTTCTTCACTCAGGAGAGGGCCTATGACTAGAATGTGTCCCCATTCTAGGGCTCATCTTTGAAGACACTCCCTAGATGGTGGCACTCTTCTGGGGCTTCCTGAAAACTTAGGAGGTGGGCCTAACTAGTAAGTCAGTGGGGTTGGTCCCTTCCCTGTCCCTCTCTGTTTTCTGTCTGCTGTGAAGAAGCTCCTCTGTCATACGTTGTCTCCACCCTGAACATGTGGGGCCAACAACCACAGACTGGGGTGATGGCAGGGTGAGCCAAAGTCAATCTTTCTTCGAGTTGTATCCGTCAGACATTTGGTCACAGAGGACAGGCAATCTGATGTGAGACTGTGGTGTCTAGAAATGGCTGCCTAAACAAGACCCGGACAAAGACAGTATCAATAGACAGCACACTAATGCAGAAGGGGTGAAATCTCAGAATCCCACACCTAGACAAGAAATGACAGGTGGCCAACACCTGGGGAGAGGGAGAATTAGCCTCTCCCAAGGATGAACCCCCGACTCAGTTATCCAATATAAAGTGAACAGTCCCCAAACCATATACAAAGAATAAAAATGGACTCACCAGGTTGTTTTTATATATTTGTATATCTACATGTATATGTAACAATAATAATTAAAGAAAAATAGGCCATCAATTTGAGAGGGAGGCTGGAGTGAAAGAATTTGGGAGGGGTTAGAGGAAGGAGAGAGAAGGGAGGACATAATATAATTATATTTTAATTAAAGTATATTAAATAAAATGAAACTTAATGTAAAATGTGGATGAGAAATATGTCTCTGATTTGCAATAATTGATTTAAGTTCGATTTTAGTCTTAATGACCTATATTTTTGTCCCAATAAAAGTCAGTTATCATAAAAAATCCTAACATACACAGCAATTCTACTTACCATTGAGTCTCAACTATGAATACTAATAAGTATTATTTATGTTTCAAACCTGACTTCTAAGTTCTAGTGTCAAAATTTTCCCATCTTCTGGCCATCTCCAACAGGATACAGAGTTGGTATAAAAAAATTAACCAATCAAAAAAATAGAATTCATTTTATACTCTACAAAACCCTCTCCAAGCTGCACTCACACTATGGCCTTCTGGTGAGTGGTATCTCCTGTGCTGACTCCGTCACATTTATTTTATTCTAATCCACGGTCCTCTTCCATCTGGACGGTCACTGAGACCAGCTCTGCCACGGTCCTGCTCATCATGTGACCAGTTACCACACCCCATGGTCTCCATGCTTCCAAGGACTGTCATCTGCCTGCTGCTCCTCCATCTTTCCCTTTTACAAAGTCCTTGCTGCTAAGTTTTCACAGAGCCACAAAAGGAAGCATTGACCCTGACATCCACCCTATTCGAAAGTGTGTGATCTTGTAGTTGTCTGTCTGACTGATAAGATTTAGATTTTTCTTCATTGGGCACTGAATAAATCTGGTCAAACTGACATCCTTACTTTATTCTCCTCTACTCCCTAGTGCAACACAATCTGAGGCATCTTGAAAAATTACTGAATGTATGTATAAAATTACTTAAAATTAATAATAATAACCCAACACCTTACTTAAGCCCCCATCCCCACCATACAGTCACCCTGCCAATAAGAATGGCATAAAGAGAGTGCACTCCTCATATCCAGTCTAGGACCATTACAAAGCCCCATAAGATCCAACCAGGCTATGTGCTGTCCATCATCTACAGAACTGGAGTGTCTGTTCTCCTGAGTCACCATCACACCCCTTCACCATCTCTCTCAGTGTATTCAAGTTATCTTTGAACGGATCTGACGGGATAACCTTCCCAAGGGCAAAGATCAAGTAATCGTACCACATACACACTACCAGATTCTTAACAAATGTTTAGTGGCTGGTTAGTGATGGCCTGAAGGGTTACACTGTTAAATATATACACAATTTTATCATCAGCAAGTGATTTAGTTCATCCAAGGCCAAAATCTTCCCTCCATCTGTCTTGCATTTCTTTTCAGGGGGTGGGTACCAGCTACCTGAGCATCATAAATGGACCACTCTCCTGCAGGAAGATGATCTGACAATGTAGAAAGAGTCCCAGGGTGGGCATCCATGTACCTGTGCTTAGTAGCAGCAAAACCTTCATTATGGAGTACTCCTCAAAGGTCAGCTGCAGCCGCACGAACTGAAGGCTGATCTGGCGCATCCCCTGGCACAGCTCATACATGGCAGACTGGTGCATCTTCTCTCTGCAAAGGAAAAGCAGCCACACACGTCTGAGATGGGGCACCATGATATCCAGGCTGGCAGCCCAGGCAACTTAGCAAGAGCCCTGAGCCAGCCCCCCGCCCCCTGTGGCTTCAACAGATGTACATTTTAAAGACAAGTCGGATGCCTTTCTGAGTGACTGTAAGTCAACTGTCTGTAAAACCCTACTGAACCATTTACTAGCTCCCTGTGAGAATTTGGGAGAAACACTCTCAAGGCACCATGGCTTCCTCCCAGATTAAGAGTACTGTTAGTAGGTGGCAGTTCTGTGACAAGAACAGCCACAAAGCAGAGCAGCTGTGGTGATGTGGGGGGAAGCCCCAGGATGAGGTCCTTTTGGCTGCAGGTGTGACAGACTGACGGACTTTTGCAAAGGACTGCGTTAGATGTAGTGAGCAGAAGGTGGTCATGCCCATGCTTATTTCCAAATGGCTCCTTTACAGAGGTCATAGAGTACATCTGTTCCTGACTTCATCAACATACATGATACAGGGAATTTAAGGCAATTTAGAAAGATGAGGACCTCAATAGAATTGGCTCTAACCAAGACAGAGCAACATGGCGGCTTGTCACCATATACAGACATGTCTCCATCCATAAAGCCAACCCAGCCCCTCACTCCACTGGCCAAATATTTCTGTAAAAAATCATGCTATACAACAAAGAGGTCTTTCTTCTGTCTTTCCTTAAGGGTTAAACAAGGCAGCTCATTGTTTTTAGATTTTTTCAGAAAAAACGTGCCTGTTGGGAGGCTTTGAATACATAGTGAGAGATGATTGGTGAAACAGGAAAGGACATGCCACACCGAAGGGACAGGAGGGGCCACGAGGCTGATGCACTTCTCCAGGTGTATCCAGGTGAGCACCTGCCCTGCATCCTCCTTCCAGGAGGCGCCCTGCTCTGCCCTCAGGAGCCAAGGCTCTTCCAAGAGGTGAACGCCAGGAAGCCAGGGAAATATGGCGCGCTTTGCTCTGGATAGTATAGTGTCTTCCTCCTCCTGTCATAAGCTAGAAGCTACATTAAGACAATATCTAACATACACACACACACACACACACACACACACACACACACACACACACACACACGCGTGCACACACACAGTAATAATAAAATTCTGTAGATCTACTACCCAGAATTAAGCACATAACAAATGCTAACAGCATTGCAATACCTGCTTTAGATCTTTAAACAGCTTCATCATGGCACAGTTGAGGCCTAATCTCTCTTCTACTGGATCTGGCCCATGTCTTCCTTATTCAAGATGGGAACAATCAGCTTGAGGGATTACCATTTGTTCTCAGACAAATCTATTAAGTGTGTGTATGTGTGTGTGTGTGTGTGTGTGTGTGTGTTTGTGTGTGTGTGTGTGTGTGTGTGTGTGTGTGTGTATAAAACAACGCATGCTCCTGTAATATCATGCAGTGATTTGAAGCTAGAGATGACGTCCCTCAGTAACTAATTTTCACTCCACACATAAGTATGAGATGTAACTATTTTAATACCAGAGACTCTAAGTGAAGTTACTCTGACTGCTGCAAGCTTTGTTTGTGAATAACATCACAACTTTCAGCAATTTTTAAAAAAAAGTGTGTGTGTGTGTGTGTGTTCACACACGCGCGCACACACACACACACATGAATGCAGTGCCCATGGGAGCCAGAGGGTGTCAGATCTCTTAGAGCTGGAGTTATAGGCAGGTGTGAGCTGCCTGGCATGGGTGCTGGGGAACTAAACTCAGGTCTTCTGCAAGAGCAGGACATGTTCTTAACTACTGAGCCATCTCTCCAGTCCCATCACAATTTACCAAAGCGATCTTCAATGGAGGGCACACATGGATTCACAGCTTGCTATTGCTGTTACAAAGGATGCCCAAGGAACACCCGTGCTTCTACAAGAAGAGCTGGGTACAGAACTGCTCACCTAGGCCTCCTGTGGCCATTAGTACTCCTTCCTAGCAGCAGGGCCCTTTCATTCCACATCCTACCAATTATCCAGTCCCAACTACTTTGCCATCTGATGAGCACATGCTAAGGGGTAACTCATAGTTGCTTTTATTTCCATTCTAGCATCACCAGCTCAATACCGTTTTTCCAATGTTTCCTGACCATTTCTTCTTCCATGATTTGCCTCCTCGCATTTCTACCCATACTGTTATATTTACAATCCTCCTATCATCAAGTAACACTGTTTTAATAATAATAACAAGTATTTTTATTAGTCAAGTTTCACGTAGCTCAGAATGGCTGAGGATGAACTTGAAGTTTTCATCCTCCTGCCTCCACCCCCTCCTGGATTACAGGCGCTCACCACCATACCCAGTTTATATGGGGCTGGGGACTGAAACTAGACATGCATTTTGTCAACTAATCTACACCCCACACCCCCAAGAGACAAGGCCTGTGTCGACCACACACTGGCTCACGCGATCCTCCTGCTTCAACCTCCAAATGTCTGGAGCACCAGCATACGGCCGTATGCCCAGCTCCTCCTCCCCTTTCACTCTGAACAGATTTTTCTCTTAGTTCGTGTGCTTTATTTTCATCTTCTCCCTCCCTCTCTTTCTTCCTCTTTCTTGCGAGGATTTGCCTGATGTATTCTCTCCAACTTTAATCCTTTGGTTTAAAATTTGCCACATGTATCTAATCAGCAAAAAGCCAAATTTAAAAAGTCTGAGAGCCTCCAAGTTTTGCCATTGTCCAATCCCAAGCATTTGCCGTTTTAATAGCTCGGTTTAATCTGTTTTCACTTACTGTGATGAGTACGCATGCTGGATTGTCCCACCATTTAACCCCCATCTCCCTCTGTTCCTACTGTGCTCCTCTATCTGCTTTCTTCTTTGAACTGGATCCATCCAGCTTTCTGAGCTCCTCTCTCTGTCTCTCTCTACTGTATTTAGGAGATGCACACTCTATTTTCACACAACTCATGATTATTTTTGAATGAAGAACTTGCATAGTTAAACGTCTACAGTTAACTGGAAGAGTTCCCCTGAGAAACAGGAAGCTCTCAGAACGCCACATCATCTCTCTTCTACCGCTTCCCAGTCTCCATGTCAATGGTCTTCAGGGCTTGCAACCCACATTACTTTTCAGGTCACCGTCAAAGCTGCTTTGCCTCTCTCACCTCCACTGCATTTCTTGTGTGTTTATCAGTCTCCCCTCCCCACTGCAGTGCTGAGGACGGAACCCAGGCCTTTCGCACGCCAGGCCAGCCCTCTACCGCGTTTCCAGTGCAGCCCACCCGTGTGTTTGGATGCAGCAGTGTCTTTGGGCATCAACACTTCTCGTCCATCGTGCATCATTCCTGGGTTTAATTTCTTACTCATTGTAGAGCATGTTTTAGTGATTCTTTCAACTGAAGTTCTGAGTCTCAACTTCTTTCAAAGTGTCATTAACCAGCTGCTTGGTGGCTGCCTTCTGAAGCTACAGATTTCTAGGTTGACAGGTCATTTCTCTCAGTACTTTCAGGCTAGTATTCCATGAAGCCTGGACCTTCTTCGTGGCTTTGGGGGAAACTCCATACAGTTTTAATCTCTCATAGCTAACTTGAATTTTCGCTGGTAGCATTATGTTTATTTGTTTTTCTCATGCCTGCTCTTTCACTGAGGTGTGCCTAGGGATGGACTGGTTTTTGTTTGTTTTGTTAGAGGCACAGTGCAGTTTCTGACACATAGTCCTTTGCTACTGCCTCTGCAGCCAGCAGGCTCATCCCCGAGTTCTGTTAGTGGGACACCCCACCTTTCTTGTCGTCAACTTCTTTTTCATTCTCGACATTTTCTTCATATTTTCATTCTAGGTGATTTTTTTCACATTTATTTTCCAACTAAATATTTTCCCTTGTTTATGTCAAACCCACAATTTAGTATCTATAGTTTATTTATTGTTTATTATTTTTGAGAGTTTCGTGCACGAGTATTGTATTTACATTATTTCCAGCCTCCCCTCTTCCGCTCCAGAACCTCCTGTGTACTCCATTCCCTATCAAAATCATGAATGACCTCTTTCCCTCTAATTATTCTTATTACTTATACATTACGTGTTGCTTGTGCTTAGGGCTTGAATTTTGGCGGCAGTATCTGTCACACCAAGGAGTGGGGATGCTCTAATATCATTCTTGTTACTCAGACTGAGCCCACTTCACATTGCTTGTGTCTGGGGCCTGAGTTTTGGATGCACTATTTGCCATGACAAGGAGGGAAGACATTCTTTCAAAAAAAAGATTCTTTCAAAAATCTGTGACTTCCCATAAGACATTTCTTCTCATGGTTATTATGGCTTCTTTTACATCACCAGACATTTCAACATGCTCCTTTTATAGCATCTTTCAGATTTTTAGGTTCATTTTTAGGATGCCAGCATGCACATTTACATGCATTACTTCGGCACACAGTCTTCTATGTGAACCTGTATGGGCACCAGCTTGTGGAAGGAACTCTCTGGGAAGTGTTGGCATTTAGAACTGCCACAAGTACAAGTGTTTTACTTCTTCTGGAGGAGTTTTTATTGCTAATTTCTCAGCTTCAGCACTTTTGGTAGGACTCACGTAGTTTAAATTTGGACTTCACTTGATGTGGCACAGGCTTGTGTTCCTTATTTCTGCTTCCTTGCCGTGTCCCTGGGCTAGTCAAAGAGTAGCTGAGCTTTAGTGTTCTTGGTGGCAGGGCCCTGGATTTATGCATGGGGCTCTACCACAGGCCCTAACCCCAGCTGGGACAAAAGTCCTTTTCTTGTTTGTATTCTAACATGCACCCCTAAAGCAGATGTCTGCACCCACTCATCTGTTGGCTAACTGGAACTTTAGCTCAAAGCTGAGCAGACCTGTCCCCTCCCCAAGGCCCCTGTGCTGAGTATGGGGGCCAGAGAAGCTGAGCAGACCTGTCCCCCCCAACCCCTGTGCTGAGCATGGGGGCCAGAGAAGCTGAGCAGACCTGTCCCCCACAACCCCTGTGCTGAGTATGGGGGCCAGAGAAGCTCAGCTG